CGGTGGCACACTAGGGTAGTCAGATGGAAGGTGAAAATCAAAAAAGAAGAGACCATCTTGGTATGGTGTTCCATATGCCCCAACTATTACGGCCCTCAAGAGATCCATTCTATCTTCGTAAGCTCGAACAAAGATTCCATCTGCCAAAGTTGAATGATTTTTTTTTGATATGATGTTACCATCATGAGATACTGCTGAACGTTTTAACTTAACAGCTAGACATTCTTACCCGGAAGATTGTTCTGAAGTATTTTCCAGTCTTGATCAACCTTCTTGAACCACTGTCTTTCTTTGGTTTTCTGCAAGTTTATTATATATTTTAGTAATTTGCACCAACAAAGAAGTCATCTAAAGTGTAAGTCCTTCAACTACCTGCCCATCTACGCCAAGGAAATGGTGGTCCAGAGGATCTTGTGATATATCAAAGCGTCTGAAACTGCAGCTATCACCATCAGAAGGTACTGGCTCATCTTCTAAAAGTGTAGAGGTTTCCCCACTCAAAATATTCTCAGCATTAGCTTGAGTGCCCTTTGACTCACAATTATCAGTCACGTTGACCTTTGAAGGACTAGGGTCATCAAGGAAACAATCTCTTTCATCGGAAGAGTTGGTCAATTCAGCTTGCTTATAAACATTTTCCCCCGTGTAATCAGAACTGGAAGAATCTACAGATTTCCTGGCACGGGAAAAGATTCCACTAGCCAGTCGAGTCACAAATTCGATTGCAGCCAGTGGAAGAGCTAGGGCACCGTTCCTCCCAGAATCGTTCTCAGAATTGACATCTGCATCAGAGTTTCCCTCAATGGAACTACTCCTTCCAAGCTCCTGAAAAGCAAACATTCTTATTAATTTGCAGACAAATGGCAATGCCTATGCTAGAAAAGGAATTGAATCAGTGCCACCCTTTTTTAACAGTTTGGTTCAAGGAGACGTATAATTCAGTAATTACAAATTTAGTAACTTTTTATAAACGGAAATAAACCTCTTCAGGAATCTCAGGAGCACCCCTATCATCATCGTTTAAAGTTTCCCAACTAGCAGCATCACTTGCTTCACTTTCTCCAGCAATCGATTCATCATCATCATCCCGTCCAACTACATAAACTGCATGAGGGCCAACCTAAGAGAAAGCAAAAGCTAAAAATTAAAAATCAATGAATACCAAGTCTTATCCACAGGTAAACTGCCATCAGATTCAAAAGATTTCTGACTGTTTTTCTTTGATAGACAGTCTCATAACGAACCAAATTCCATATATCTCTCAGGTCATTAAAATTAAAAAAAAACAACTGCTCTACAAATTATTCCTTAAGATAGGTAATAAAATCTCCTCCAACTTATGCATCAACAGTCTTTTTAGGCCAAACCATCTACGAATGGACAAGATTTATGGTTTGGCCTTTCCCCTAACTCCCTGATCTATGAAATAAAAAGCAGAGCAGCAAGAACATGAACAAACCTAACTACATATAGGTCTGGGATAGACATTGAGCATCCCGAATAAACACTTTTAAACAGCAACTGTATTAAAACACTCAAAATTTCTGTAGACGTTGCAAATCATATAATGAGACCACACCAGCAAGGGATTGTAAGTGAATAGACTAGTTGAGGTTGACGTACCGTTGATACAGTTCCATCGGCCCATGTTACTTCAATATCACCATCCTTGAGGCCAGTAATATTTCCAACCCATGAGAGCTTTGAAAGGTCCGTATTAGATTCGTTTTCTTCAGTATCCTTACGGATTTTAGCTTCTTGATGGGATTCTGAATCTTGGTATCCATTGTCTTGCTGTGTTGCCTCCTCTAAAGAGTTTCCGGGAGAAGATGCTGGTAACGCAACGGTAACAGGTGATAAGCGAACAACAACATCCCCATAACAGTAGTCATAATCTGGATGGCCCTCTAGCTCATACACACTGACAATTTCTTCCTTTTCAAACTCACGGGGTTCTTCTGCCCTTAGAAGTGGCTTTAGCCACCTCACAGAAGCGGTACGTTCTTTTGCATTGACACTTTTCACAACGCCAGCACGTCTAGGTTCATTTGTGTTATCACCATCATCACAGGTCTTCTCTACCACATACTGCTCAGAGACAAATTCATGATCACCAGGAGTCTCAATTGGAATCAATGTTGTCGCTTCCCGTCTACATTCTATTGTACCATCCTGCCAGGCTACATCAACACATGTTCTGCTATTAACTACCAAAAGAGCTTGTTCAAAGGTTTCCTCTTTCTTCTTTATCTTTTTGTCCTTTCTGATAACAAGTTTGCGAATCTTCTTACGATGGAGAGGCCAAGGCTCATGAACAGGCTCCTTTGAAATAGAAGGATTTCTTTGAGAAGGATCTTCACTAGTTACTTTTGGCAAAGTTTCAGCAGTAATACCAACTTTTCCACTTACCCCATCTTGCACATCTTCTAAATCGCACCCGCTTTTCTGTTGCCGATCAGCACAATTTGCTTGAGAATCATAAATTCTTAATTTAGATACATGCTTGTGTAAGGGGATCGTAGCAGATTGATTCACAGATGGAAGAAGGCACCAGTCACCCACTTGCCAATTGGCATGAGTGAAACATGACAACAATGTCAAATTACTTGGATTCTGCTCCTCAGGTGGGGAAACAGAAGAATCTGGACCAAAGCCAGCTGAGGCAATCCAGTAGACAAAAATAGATCCAGCAGTAACTTTGGTCACAGTACCTTCTAAACGATTGGGCTTCCACAGTCCAGATAACCACCGGGAATTCTTAAAAATCGAGGAGGAGCTTGCTCTAACACGCTGGCCTGGATAATAAGGAAAATTAGCATCTTCTTCAAGATTATTCTTGGGAATAGGTTTTAGTCGAAGGGGTTCAACACGTAGAACTTTACACATGGAACCATCATCAAACAAGACAGTGACATTGTCCAATACATCATCGATTCTACCTAGCCATGGTCCATGAACCACATAATCACCAACAGCAAAATCCCTGACGCGTTTCAAATTCTTAGTTGATATATCCTTGTGGATAGAACCATCAGGAGCCAACAAATCAACTGATATGTTCACATCCACTACAACTCCCACCTGGCCAGTTGGCTCATAAGCCGAAGCAACATAATCTCCATGTAAGAAACCACGGTCTACAACGGTTACATCATTAATATCTTGAACAGGCTCAGTGTTATCCATCCAAAGCACACGAATCTGATCTCCGTCAAGTGCACCACATTTATAGTTCCCATCGGGTTTTTTCTCGCCAGCAGCAGCATTGCCATCTCCATCACCAACATTTTCTTCACTGGCCTTTTCCTCTTCATCATCATCTTCTTCGTTGTCTTCATCCTCATCACTAATATCACTCTCGGAGTCAGAATCACCAGCTACTTCGCTGACAACCCCAATACTACCGGTCCTATTGTTTTTGACAATATCTTGTCGATAAATATTAGGATGCTCTGAATCATCAGACCTATGGATATGATTTCTGTCGTTGTTGTTATTCATCACAGTTGAATCATCAAGTGGCGGTGGCGAGTCAACCCCAACATTTGTTGATGATGTACCAGGGTCATGTTGCTCATGCTCCATCTAAAAAAAAGCCAAGTAAAAGAGTTTTGATCACCGATAATGAAATATTCTACAGAACAAGGATCGATAAGAGAAAGAATCAAAGGAACATCATCAAAAAATATTACAGAGATTGTTCGCGAATATATACAATCACATTGAGCTGCCAAGGAACAGATTCGTAAGTACCGAATTGGAGGAATCTTGGAGAAGAAGTGATCGGAGGAAGATTTCAATCGATTACGATTTTGATCAGATGCTTTTTCTTTTCCTTTATCAGAAGAAGAAGAAGAATCAAGGAGAAAGATTGAACAAGGCAAGGAGGAGGAGGAGGAGCTCAGCGGCGTCAAGGGTATATTCGTCATTTGTGCCAAAGTGTTTTATAACATTCCACGAGGCCACTCATCGAATCTCAGCCGTTGGATCTGCTTACCAAGTCGCCGGTCATGTTTTTTTTTTTTGTTTTTTTTTAGTATCTATCTGATTATTATAAAAACTAAAATTGCATAAGGTATATGAATTATATTTGTTATATCATTTACATGTAACTATTGAGAATGATTATGACTGGGTAAAAGACAATAATAGTCGTTAAAAATATATTGTAATCAATTTCGAATAATTAAAAACATTATTAGATCTTCTGTTCTAGTTCTACTAGGAATGTTATGTGACAGTGATAGTTAACTTGCTCTTGATTTCTAGGCCAAATAATTTAAAAAAAAATGTTAGAACATTCTTATGAAATCTATAATATAAAGTGAGACTTGATCAACAACAGCCCATATAATGGCTTGTCATGGTGGAATCCTCATTAGCCATGGCAACAATCCTCTCCATAAAGCCACTAATCCTTCCTCTGCATAAATCCTTCTAATGACATCAACCATCCCTTTATATTTCACCCCACCTTCACTGTCTCAGACTCTCAGGTTTGAGCCATCAACCTCGTTTTTACCACATCAAATGGTCCTGTGCACAACGGACCTGCGGTTCCAGCCAAAAAACCCTGAGATCATTGACTGCCATCCATGGTTGTAAGACTTTACCGTCGCCTTCATGTTTGTTCCACAAGACAAGAGTACATCAAAGGCGTTTTTTCGCTGTGAACATTACAGTTTGGTTGGTACCGTTTCGCATAACCGTCGGTGTTGCACCCCAATATGCTTTCTTCTTTCACGATGGTTCGAGCACAATGAATGGGTCCTTTATAAAACAAAATAACCGGGTTTTATGAAATAAATCATCATTTGGAGATCACCATTATCCCCCAGTCTACTACACATATTCTGATTGTTTTGTTTGTTTCGTGGGTTTCAAGAGACCTGGTTATAACATCTCGGTTTCATAATTTGTAATTGGGCCAGTTTGTTAAAATAGTATGTTACAGTCCATTAAGGCCCAATTGCCTTCATGTTCTCGATTCTAAATCCGAATAAAAAAAGTCAAAACATTCTTATGAAATCGAAAACATGTTCGCATAATACAAATACTGAATTAAGACTTGAAAAGGTTTCAAAGTTACCGGCACACACATTACCGAGACTTAAAAATACAAGAAGCGGCTAAAAGCATAAACATAAATTTGACACAAGATTGAATTTGTAATACTCTTTAGGACAGTAAACTTCATTCACCACCGCAGATTTTATCTTCATTTATGCTTTGACAACCATAATAACAACTTTTTCTCGGTACCTTTAACCGACCTTACTCTCGGGGAATTTGGCCTCGTAAGCCACTGTAGTCTGTTAAAACAAAGGAGAAACAAGCAAGATTGTTAGTAAGATAATGAAATCGAAGAAACTGAGACAACACAAGTTTGGTTTTTTTTTTTTTTTTTTGGATACCATGTAAGTCGCAGTAATCATCTTTCCAGCAAACCATCTTCCATGGAGAGCACGTTGTGCACCTATGGCTGCTTGCGCATTCTCAAATCTCAGGTAGACAAAACCAACGCTGTTCCTGTTTTAGCAACAGAGATTGCAAGTCAGTCAGAGACCAGTCTACTCTTTTCGAGAGTGAGAAAGTTACAAGATCCTAAAGCTCACTCACTTGTCAACATAGATATGATTCAGATTTCCGAATTTGGAGCATTCTTCTTTAACATCTTCTTCTATATCCTTGTCAAAATCATCTTCAGTCTGCCAAACAGATACAAGTGTAAAGAAGAGTTAGCTTGAGGTACAAATTGTTCAGCCGAAAGAAACTATTTAGTAGACCACTAACCTCAGTAGATGGATCAAACATGTTTTTAAGCAGCAGACATTCGCTGGGGACACCAACTGGGTCTATTACACCAGGAATAATGCCGGCCCCTGCGAGTCCAGCAACAGCAGGAAAAGACCCTTGTACAAGTGCAGGAGCTGCCAATGAAGAGATTGTAGATACTCCACCGTGAATAGATGCAGCTGTAGTAAGGCCAGTGCTGCAGAGAAGGTTGGAGGATTTAGTGGAATATAAATGAATGAAAACAAACTGCAAAAACAGAAATAAGTAACAGAAAATAAGGAAACCTTGATGCAGTTCCACTGCGATCGAGCTTTTGCATGAGAAGCGCCCGCGATTGTGCATTCAGAGACTGCAGATTAAGCAACCACGTAAGGCTAAGAGAACAAATGCATTTAATGACAGTGCCGGAAACTGGAAAGTTAACTCTATTCTCTTCTACTCCACCATGGATCTTACACATAGTAGCTATTTACAATTATAGAGAACCAGATTAAATAAAAAATTGTCTATTAACACCCTTTTGTTAAAGTTGATTAAACTTATGTTCATATTTTATAATCCTACATCATGCAGTAACTATAGATCCATAAAATATATCCACTTTGGAGGTTATGCTAGCGAGATTAAGACAACTAACTAACCAGGCCACCTCCATCATCATCATCCAAATCACCGGTGGTTTGCGTCTGTCCAGCTTCTGGGACTTCAGTTTGATCAGTTACAGCTGACACCTAATGAAAAGTAAAACTACATCATCAACAGATATAACATGTTGTCTTAAATGCATCTTTAGAAGCCTTTGAGACAGATTCAAGATGGTTGACTGCTCAAAGTATCAGCCAAAAAAATTCACATAGAGGTGTCACACTGCTCAATTTGCCTCCATAGAAGTGATAATGTAACATCACTAAGCACAAAGAAAATGAATGTATGTTCGGGAATTATATCATAATTTTCCCACAGAGAGAAAGAATCCGTATAGAAAGTACCTAACACAGCTTAAGCTCTCTACTACCTTCAATACTACTGATATCAGTTGAAATTTTTTTAAAAAAAAGTGTAACCACTACCTTGATTGCACGACCTGCAATCTCCAACTGCCCATTTAGATTCAGTGCGTTTCTAGCATCCTCCAGGCGGGCGAACTTGAAAGTTTAGAAAAAGAAAAGAATTCTGTTAATCAAAAAAGTACAGTAGCAAAAAAAAAAAGTTTCAAGACTGACACTGACTCTACTCACCTGAACAAAACCAAATCCTTTGCAGAGGCCAGTTTCATCACGAGGTACTTGCACCAGCTCCACACTCCCAAATGGTTCAAAAACCTAGAAATGCCAAAAGAAAGCATTATTATGTCACCTGAAAGCAAACTATGATCCGAAAAATGAGCAATTGCAAAAGAGGTCTATGATCCTTAAAGCTCAATAGGCATATGATTTGCACAGTACAGGAAAAAATCTGTTCTTACGGTTTTCTGACATTTATCCAAATAACACTTCCTCTTTAACAAACATAGAGCAGTTGCCAGGGGAAAAGAAATAGTTTACCTTTCGCAGATCATCTTCTGACATGTTAATGTGGAGGTTACCAACATAAAGACGTCTAGCTCCGCCGGAGTAGGGGCCCAACATCCCCCCTGCTCCAGCAGCAGCAGTTGTTGACTGAACAAGATTCTTCTCAGCTTCAGAAGGTTTTACCATAACAGGCTGACCAAGAAGAGGTTGTCCAGATAGAGCAATAGCCATGGGGACAGACATTGTATCATAAAACTCCACATACCTGCAAGTAGGAACAACTCAGAATCCAGCAAACAGTACTAAAACAAGATACAACATAGCATTTGCACAATTTACGGCTCAGAAGCTATTTAAAGCTTATCACTGCACCGACAGTTAAAAACTCTTAAGCATAAACAAAAACTTGCTCTAGCCACATAAGAGCAGCATTATCGGTCGTTCCTTAGCAGATTTCTAAAAACACAAGAAATAATAATATTTTAATGCTACAATTATATTCTAGTTTTTTTAATATAAATAACCCATTAATAAAGGTGCACGTGTCTGTTGGTTTGTGATAACGTCTCTTAACTAAGAGCTATTTCAGCTTCTCTCTCTTCTTTTTCTTTACTTTTCATTATTTTTCTTTTTTTTAATTATTAAGAGTTCTGCTAAAGAACGACCGATAATGCTGCTCTAAGTCTTAAAGAGTCAAACTGTTCGAAACTCACCCTATTCCCCTGGAACGCCTGGAAATTCGATCCATTATTATCCGTACATCTCGCACCTAGAACCATACTTAGGAGGTAATGTGTCAAAAATTTCAATTGAACCAGCCAGAACAACAATTTATATGGCAACATGAAACAGGCAGGGAATGAACAAACCTTGCCAGCTCTAGAAAAGAATTCATAAACATCCCTTTCTGTTGCTCTCAAAGCAATCTGTTGTACATAAAAAAAAAATTCAATTATTAATCAAGTTATAATGTTTAAAAGGAACCATAGCTATAACAACAGGCATACCTGATAAGCAAAAACTGTTCTCTGATCTCTTTCCGGATCAGCCTCAGGTTCTACCTTATCCTCCTTCTTATCTTTATGGCGTCTGCATAATAACAAACATGTGAGCTTGTTTAATTTCATACTATAAACTTTTTCATCTATATTTTACAAGTTGTCGCAACATCTTTTGAATAGGCCAGAGACAACATATCAATGGCATCTTCTGGTATACAGCAATATGTTAATATTATAACAATTCAAAACAGATAAACTTTTCTCCGTTAGGCGTACACACGTGAAGCACGAGATGGCCCTGCAGGGAACTATGCAAAGTCAACAAGGGATGAACAATAAACTAATAATTAAAACTTAGATCTTCTTTCATTTTAAATTTAGCACAGGACCAACCTGAAGTCTAACCAAAAACTTTTTACCTTCTATTACAATGATAATCTTAAGAACGTGCCCCATCAAGTTGTACAGAAGGCAATACCAATGGACCTAATAGCATTAGTATGAACCTGTTAACATTTATAGCTTACATCAAAGTTTTTGCAGCATAACCCAAATAGCATAAGAGATTTGATTTCCAAATTCAGTCATCAAATCAAGAAGATGGGAAGCACTAGGAGCCTGCATCCTCAATTTCACTCTCAACATCTCAATAATATTCTGAAACTACCATGAAGAAGTCCTTCGGAAAAAGTACAAAGAAGCTACTAAACACAGTACATAAATTTAAGAATCGGATTCTAAAGAGTGAACTAGCAGGCGATATGTAGAGTATCAAGTCGATCACCAACTCGGATGTGTACTTCTCAAGAAGTATGAACAAAAAGTATATTGATTAAATGCAGTAGGCATTTATGAGAACAAGTTTGAAATAAAGAAAAGAGAGAGAAGGAGCACCTGCGATCTCTATCCCGGTCCTTGGTCTCTCTTTCCTTAGGTTCTATTTCCAGGCTCTTTTCTCTTTCCTGACTCCGATGTCGCTCTGATCGACTTCTACTCCTTCGTGACCGATCTCTCTCCCTATCTTTTTCATGGTCACGCCCTTTACCATCTCGATCCTTATCTCTGTCCCTCTCTCTATCTTTCCCATTTCTTTCTTCTTTATCTATATCCTTTTCACGATCTCTATCTCTGTGCTCCCGGCTACTCCTATGCCTATCCCTCTCTCTGTCCCTAGACCGTGAACGGTGGTGAGATCTCGACCGCTTAGAACGCCGACCATCCTCGTCTTCATCCCTCTCCTTCTTCTCGTCACCCCTATGCCTTGAGCTTCTACTCCGCTCTCTCCCTTCAGATTTGACTTTCTCATCACCACCACCATTCCCAACTTCATTCTCCAAGTGGGGATTTTCAACTGTCTTCTCTAGGTACTCATACTCATCAAAGTCCATTCTACAAGTCAAATCACTTCAACACCAGACCACTCTCTCCCTCAATACCTAGAATCTACAACGAAAAAGATAAATTAGTATAGAAACAAGCACAACCTCAACATCACTCACTCCCAATGGAGAAATTATTCGATTTCACAGCCAAATTCCTTCGAGAGAGATCATTGGATACGACGAATTCCAGATTGAAATTGAATAAGCGAATTAGCAACTCAGTACTTACCTCTCTGGTAACGAAACTCGAAGAAGCGAAGAGGAACGGCGAGGAGAGAGAAACTCGAAGCTGCTCTCAATCTGGAATCTCCCGCTCGCGCTATCTAGGGCAAGAAAAAAGCTTTGTGAAGAAGACGAAGTTTGTGAGGTGGTCGCAACTATAGGTTTACTTTCCACTTGCCCAGATTCAGCCTAAAACCCTCTTTCGGGTCTAAGGCCCAATCCCTTTTTTTTTTTTCTTAATTTTTTTTTATATTTACTAGAAAAATATCACGCGTCGTTTGTTTTGAAAATTATTAAGAAAAATTATGTTGATTATTTTTGTTGCTAATTTATGTTTATTTTTTAATTTATTATTATATAGTTAATAAAATTAAATTCATCTTATGTAGTTACAATTTTTATGATTAGATTTATTTTTTACTGAAAATATTAATTTATACATTTTCATGTATAAATCTGACTATTTATATATTTAAGATTCTAATATTTTCCCACCATCATGAATACATATAACATCAATATAGGATATTTTTATACAATCATATGTAATTATGTCATTTGTGTAGTTTGAAACTCACTTAACTTGATTATAAATACAATTTTTTGTTCTGTTAACTCTCCTGATTTAGTACTCCAACCACATCGTGATAGATTCATTATTGAATACTAGATAGACATAAATTGAACAATATCTCAAAAGTTTTCATATGAAAATAGAAAAATAAAGCAAAACTAAAGTGTCATTTAGGTAAGCACTTTTACATCTTCTGTCATTGCATATAACCATATAAGATAAATAGTCGTGTCTTGAATTATTTGGTATGTATAACGTTTCAAAGGTCCATCACTTGAAAAATCTTGCATGTCAATGTTACCAACTTACCATAAAACATAAAGATAAAAAGAGAGAAAGTCATATGATAAGTCATATATGAACAACAAAACGTAATCAAATATATAAAAATTGGCCAACTCTCTCCATATGTATAAAAGTTTGCCAACTCTCTCCATATGATAGCAAACAACTAAATTACAAAAAAATAAAGTTTCAGTCATAATCTAGTAGTAACCATTGATAAAAAAAATTATTAAAAAGAGAAGAGTATATTTAAAGTAGTGTTTTTTATTAACATAATTTTGTATCTTTTTTCAATTTTGAATAATTAACTTAAAAGTATAATTGATGGGGGATTTAATGCAATAAAAACTTTTAATTTTTCTCATTTAATTTGGATAATTTTTATTTAAATAATACAAAATGACACAAGTCATTTTCTTGTGTGATAAATTACAAAAAAAAAAAAAAATTCAGTCATTATCTAGTGGTAACCATTGATAATTTTTTTTATTAAAATGAGAAGAGTATACTGAAAGTAGTGTTTTTTATTAATATAATTTTTGTATTTTTTCAGTATTGAATAAATAATTTAAAAGTATAATTGGTGGGGGATTTAATGCAATAAAGAACTTTTATTTTTATTTTCTCATTTAATTTGGCTAATTTTTATTTAAATAATACAAAATGACATATGTCATTTTCTTATGTGATGATGTGGCACTAATATGGAGAGAGTTGGCCAACTTTCATATATATAATTTTAAAATATTAATGTATTAACCGGGCTTTGTAGCCTAGTGGTAAAGGGGTCACGGCTGTGACTTCCGCCACCAGGGTTCGAGGCACGCCTACTGGCGGATTTATATGAGGGAATCGCCAGCTCCACGGGATGTGGGGTACCCCAAGGCAGATGACTCATGTGGGTCCCACGCTAGTCGGTTCCACCCCGGTGGGGCCGGACACCCGAGTTATCAAAGAAAAATTAAAAAAAAAAAATATTAATGTATTTTACCCTTTTTAGATAAGAATTACCATGAGATAAATCTTATACTATTTAATTTATAAAAATAATTTTATTTGTTTTGAAGGGATTTTGTTTTGGCGGGAAAATATTAACGATGAATTTGTGATTTTTTGTATTTATTTATAATTATTAATTAATTTAAAAAATCAAAAATAAGGCGCTATTTTTGTCCAATAAACTTTTGAGTGCTATTTTTGTCCCAAAAACTTGATTTGGGGCTATAAGAGACAATTTCTCAAATTTATTTTGTGTTTGATTTTATATCTATTTTAAACATAACTCGTAATTAAAGCAGAAAAGTTTCCAGATCTTCGGATCGAATTAGTTTGACTATAGATCAACGACTTATTTTTTATTATTAAAAATCATATAAGTATATTTAGAAAGAAATATATGTATGTATGTATATCATTTACCTTGTTGGTTCTGCTTTGTTTGACTCAAAAAAACAAAAGCAACTTCAATAGGCTAACAAGAGAGAACAATATTCAAAAGCAGTTATGGGAAATGGCTAGCTATCCAAACGAACATAGACAAACACCAAATATTAGCTTCGATTTTTAGAGGAGAGGTATACGTAAATAATCCGGAATCGTCTATTTTTTTCTTTTTGTGGTAGCTCCACCCGGCTTAGCTTTCTTTTTCTTGGAAATGACTGAGGGCTCATTAGTGGTGATCGCACTATAAGAAATATATACATTGTTACTGCGAAAAATTTGCTATCATACATATTTTATAGCACTTTCATCAATGCTATGACATCGGCAGCTATGGTAGATGCCACTCATACAATAGCGTTTTCTGACATGCTATTATAAGTCGTTCAATTATTGCGGTAATAGAGTGCTCTACTATACTATATTATTATAGCACACTTTAGTGCTACATTTTATATTGTACTAGATAAGGACCCGTCCGATGGACGGGTTTATTTCTTAAAAATTAAAATCAAATTTAACAAAAAAAATAATCAACAACGTTGTGAGTAGAAATTTTTTTTCAAAAGTAAAAACAATATTTAATTTTTCACTGTTGCATTGTTTCTTTAACCACTAAAATTATTAATTCATAATTATTTCGAATGAAAGATATATCACATAACAATAATTAATGGTATACTTATATGAAGAACTAAAATTAAAAATATTCATCATAAAGTTGGTGAATAAAACCAAAGTGGTGTTTAATTAGACACGTTAAAAATATAAAGATGATAAATCGACTAAATTCTTTAGCCTTTCAAGCTAACGTTGCGGGTTCGATTCCTATATACTCGATTGCAATAACTTTATGATCAATCAATAAAAATTGATAAATTCAAAAAATTATAAGCACTATGATATATGAATCTTATATAATTCAAATATGAACATAGAAGTTAAAATAAAACAATTTTAAAATAGTATAACTAAATTCAAAATATCAAAAACAAAAAAGAAGCATATATGTTTCTTACATATTCAAGAATTTCAAATAAAATAATATAAAACTTTATTTAAAATCATCACATATTTCTAATTAGAAAATAATATTGACATAAATAATGTAAATTTGTAATTTAAATCATGACACATGTTGCTATCTTAATCATTAGAACTATGATATATTATAAATCTTATAATTTAAACTGAACGTAGAAACAAAAAGAAATAATTTAAAGATAAAAAAAAATAAACTAAAAATAAAAAAATTATAAACACGATGATATGTGAATCTTTAATAATTTAAATATGAAAAGAGAAATTGAAATAACCAATCTAACTATACTACAATCATAATTGAGAACAAAAAAAAACAGTTAAGTAAAAAAATATTACAAAAAGGAAAAAAAAAATTGATCTCACATATTTCTAATTGAAAAAATAAACTCAAATAAATAATATGAAGATTAGTTTAATTAAATCATCACATATTTCTAATAGAAAAGAAATTGAGATAAATAATATCAAATTTTAAATTAATATATAATAACATATGTTTCCTTTTTAATAAATTTGTCTTATTTTTTTCTTGTTTAATTGAAATATAAAAAACGTATAATTTCTTTATTATTATCTTTTGACATTTTAAAATTTTTTTTATAGAAATGAATTATTTACAGTTATTCTTATAATTATCTTTAACATTTTTAAACCTATTTAAATTTGTAATTACTTTCAATTATCTTCTTTTTTAATTTAAAAAGGAAATTTTTGTTTTACACGTGTCAAAATCTAAGTTCGATAGATTTGCCACGTGTCACGATCATATGAGTTATTAATTTTGAAAACCATACTTTAAATAATAAGATTGTAGTATTATTTATATTTACTATATAAATTTAGTTAGACTTATTTATAATTATTTTATTTGAACCGTGTGTTGCAAAATAAATGTAAGGTGAATTAAAAATAGAAAAATTGTTAAAAATACCCCTTTTGGTGTGCCCCTTTTCAAAAATGCCCTTTTTAGATGTCCATTTTCATAAATGCCCCTTTTTAAATCTGAAATTTTTATAAAGTTTTATTAGGTTTATAAGGTACTTATGGATTGTAACTACTACTTGAAGACTCGATCCAAGTATTTATAAGGTTTTATAAGGTGTTTTTAAAGGTTTTACAAGTTATTTTGAAGGATTTTTAAGGTTTTTCAAAGGTTTTACAAGATATTTTAAAGGTTTTTAAAGGTATTTAAAATGCATTTATAAGGTATTTATAAAATATTTATAAGATTTTAGATACATAGAAATGTAGTTTGTGTATGTTTTAATAATATTACATGCATATTTGGGTAAATTTTATATTTTTAAGAGCATTTTTATAAGGTTATTTTTGAAAAGTGGCATTGAAAAAGTGACATTTTTGCAAAAGCCCCTTAAAAATATATATATACACCGACGAACGAAAAATTAAGTATGTAGCCTTCTTTATTAGATATTTTGTTCTCTCTTCACCTACAATAATTAAGACAAAACTTCCCCACAAAACATGAATATAGTTAGTGGTGTAGCACGTGGGAAGAGAAAGATTTTAAGAAAATAAAATTATTAATTACAGGATATTTGTTTTGGGATGTAACATAAATGTTGGGGGTATGAGTAAGACGGCCATTTCAGATAACTACTGGAATAGCACGGAAATAAAGACTTTACGATATAGCATGTTAACAAGTATGTTATTATGTAACACCAATGTTAGTGGCGACAATGCAAGTAGGACTAACAATAAACGATGGTCGAAGATTAGAGTAAGTACTTGACATGTTAATAATACACTTAACATGATGAACATATTTTGGGTTATCAACCAACGTTGACTTAACATGTTAGCA